TGGGGTTTTATATATGTTGAAGTCCATCCTGAGTCAGTAGGGATACCACATTCCTTTCAGATTAAACTAAACAAGGTGAAATAGTTGCCCATTTTTCCCCCGGTGTGGAGCAGAACAGGTAGTGCCTTGTGCCGGTGCTGCGGCCGCGCTCTCATTTACTCACGTCGTTACAAGCTGAACCCAAACACGAGGAACGCTCAACACTCCATATTTCCTCTTAATATAGAAAAAGGCTCAAAGTCCAAACCGAGGGGAAAAAATGATGTTCAGCTTTCCTGTGGTCTGAGAATGCTGTATCAGCTCTGCTCAAAGCTGTCTGCTGATCGAATAACAGGAATCAAACGTAAATAAAGAGGCAAAAGGAAGGACATGACACAGGACAGAGCGAGGTGAAGCGGGTCGAGTTTCATTAGAGTGAACCAGTTCCAAGACAGACCAATTTTCAAAGTGTTAGGTAGTTACTTCCTCTCTGAGGGCTTATATCGGATAACTGTAATTCGCCCAGCATGATGCTGCTACCGAGGATGAGGGTCTGATCCTATAAAGTGTTGAAATAGCACAGCATTAAAAGCTTTGCTGGTTAACACAACAGCTCTGAATGACCTGGCAACATATGGAAGCTGAGTCTGAGTTTGAAAAGTCATCCAAAACATACCAATCTGAGTTTTATTTCAAAATGCAATCATCAAGGATTGAACTGATTTATGAAGCAACACATGAAACTGATAAAAAATTATAAAAGGTTAGCACGTAGAGGGTTTAGAAAACGAGTCCATTGTCAACACTTTTAACAGCCAAAACAGTCAACTGGCAGGTCACCGTATCATAAGTATCATGTAATTACTCACATAGCAGGTGACCACTGGATAAAACAAGAAATAATACACACTTCCTTGTGAAAATGTGTGCCGAATTGTAGGTTTGTTGTTGCAGTCTTCATATTACAGGGATTAGTGTAATCTCATTTGTTTTAACAACTTCTCCTTCCTTATTTTGACAGAAGGCAGACGATTATCCATGAACTAATAGCTCCTGGTTTAGTAGGAAAACAAAATCCAATCATTTGCAGGTTATTTACTATACATTAAATTACATGTAAAAGCACTTCTCACAAGCTTTTGTTGGCAGACTTAATTTAAGGTATTAACTACGCCCGTATAAGATTCTCATGAAATGATAACCTTGAGGAAAAAGAACTGTTTCATTGTATTCACACAAAACTTCACAGGGTCCCATTGCTTTTATATAAAACAGGAAAAATACATTTATTATTGTAGCTGCTTAAGTCATGTAACATACTTATTTTTATAGTGGTAATAATGTTATCTATTACACGTGGTTGTGGTTATCATTATTTCAGTTTGTGCAAATATCTTTCTAAGTTGTTATTGCTTCAAATATGATTGATTTTTCAATAGGGGTTGTATAGCTTATTAGTTAATCTGCCAACTGTAGTCAACTGCAATCTGTAACTTAACCTTACAAAGAGTCATAGGTGGCATTTTTTTATTATAGCTATGGCTGTTTATGATCCAAATACATAAAACTATAATTAAATTTGATTTTAAAAATAGGTTTTGGTAAATAGGAATCTATTTTAATTGTGTTTTAACAATTAAGTTAAAACTGTGTTTTATACAATCTGTAAATGGAACAGAATCTGGGTTTGGCTATTCTGTTTCCTGTATGCTATGCTTCCTTTTGGGGTGGCATCCAGCCCGGCTGTGGATCAGGTGCCTCAGACACAGGGGCTTATCCTTAATAGAGTCATTCGTGATTTTGATAACAAACTCTGGGGCATTTTTTTTTTTTTACACTTCCACCCTTATCTCTTTGCATGTTTTCAGTCTTATTGCTATAGATAAAAGCAACTTGGAGCGCAAAATATTAATATAAGAGAGATCCTGAGTCATTAAGGGAGTTTGGTAGTTTCCACAGCATACGTTTTAATGTTGCTGCATATATATAATTACAGATTACGTGGTCTTTCTTATATAGGCAAGGATCTGTTTGTCAGTTAGCTGAACAGTATTGCCCAGTAATGTGTGGGAGGGACAGGGCTGTGTTAATCTATGAATCTATGATCCATAAAGTCGAGGAAAACTCTGAGCGGTTCTAAACATTCTCAAGCATCTCTTTACAAGAACTTTAAACACTAGGAGCATGATGACAGAACGTTTTGTTTTTTCTCAACTGTGTTGAAAATGTGGCTTTTTTAAACCTCCGTGTAGCTTGAAAACCGGCCAATGCCTTCTCCTAACTTTTGTATTCTTCTGCAGCATTCAGTGCATCACAGAGGCTGGAAATTACAGATAGGTCCCTAAAAAAGTGGGAATAGCTTGTTGCAGCCCATTAAAATCACAGGTTATTGTGTTTCCATCACACTCTCATTCAGACCGTAATAACTACCTGCAGCTTATTTTTGGCCATAATCAGCCCACCATTCGCTGCTTTCACATTTCACTGACATTACAGACCAGTTAATCTGTCATTGAATAAATCCAAATGACATTAACACTCTGAACCTTTCTGATTACCCTGAGGAATAAACCTTGGCTAATAAGCTCTAATATAGTCTGCAAACACAAACAGCAGCGTTTTACTTCATCGGTATGACCCTGCTGGGATTAAATAACAAGTTTGCCTCAGAGGTACAATTAAGAGACGCTAAATAGAGTTCCTTTGAGCTCGGAGTTGAGGGAAGAGTCTCCGCTGCACAGTAGCAGCCAGTGAAGCGCTGCCGTTTTTTCCCCCCTCTGGCATTTTCAAATTACCTATTGATGAGTGGGCTTCACATCGCTCCCCGGCTGGGATGGGGGAGGGAGGATGTCTGGTTCACTTTTAAGATGTCTCCAAGAAGCAGACCTGTGGTTAGATCTAAAGCAATACTTATGCAACAGAAGCTTGCCTTTCTGAAATACATATACGGTTTCCTTTGCAAATTATCCGAGATTTACTTCAGAAGGGAAAGTTTTCCGCCTGGAGTTTTCGGATATTTACCCTTTTTGCTTTTGATGGTGTTGACTCGGCTCCTCAGTTAAAAGTTTTTTTTTTGTTTTATTATTCTTTACTGCTCCTGCACAACTTTATTGAACGATAATTGCTCCCATGACTTAATTGTCTATACGTAATTAGGTTTGTAAGAGAGAAAATAGGCAGTTAAATGTTCCCCAGAGAGGCAGTGGTGGTTGAGTGGGTGCCACACGTGTTGTCGATTATTCTGCCCCTCTCCTTCTGATTTGCCAGAATGAGAAGATATCATAAAAAAAATGAATTTTGAGCAATTAAATAAGAAGTGCCTGACTTAAACTGCCAAGACAAATTTTAATGATCCAGCTCTTTTCTTAATTAGAAATCTCTGCCAGCTTGGTTTATTATTGGGGACGAAAAATTGCTCTGTAATTAAAAGTGTCCCAGATAAGCACCAGTGTGCAGACAGAGTGTAAATTAAGGCCTCAATGAAAACAGGAGGATGGTGGATAGAGAACAAAACAGAAGAGTTTAAAAATATGATCTTATTTGAATGGATTAAAGGAAACCTGCTACAAATGAATTAAATTATTATTTTAAAATGCCAAATCAAACTAAATTTAAAACACAAAAGGAAGTGTTAAAGCCTACTGTTATTTTTTTTTTCAGGTATGATTTACCACTTTTTGATAATCACATTTTAACCAATTCTCACTTTAAGCATCTTTCCATTAAGTGCGTCGACCTAAACCTACACAAATCACCTTCCCTTTCTGCTCTTGCTCTAATGCGTTTCCTGCTCCTCTTCTCTTGTCCGCTCTTGCCCCAAGCTCCTGCGACTCACTGAGAGGTCAGTGGGGGTTAATGTGTTTTAATATGAGGTGGCAATTGTCGGAAGGCCCACGCTGTTTTTTTTTTCTCTCTCTCTCTCTCTGCGTTTTCTGCAGTCTTCTTCTGCGTGGAGCATCTGTGGCTGACCACGGAGCGACTTCTGCAAAACATCCTTAAAGCGTTTTATTTGGACAAGATGAGCGTATCTATGGAGCGGAGCAGAGAGCCAGCGGGAGATGGCCTTGATCTGGGAGGAAATGTTAATTTTCAATAATTTTATGATATGGAGCAATGGATATTGCAAGATTATTTATAATGTTTCAGGAAAGAATTAAGCAGATCTAAAATAAAGGGTCCTTAAGAAGCACATGTTGGTCTTCACAGGTTCATCTCTACTGTTTAGAAGACTGAGGATCATTTTTATCTTTTGCACAGGTCAATTTCAATATAGAGAAACAAGAATAAGCATTAACAAAATGGAGAAATTGTTTAAAAAAAAACAATAAATCAGAATGCATGGATTGTTTTTAAACTTCAGTAAATGTTGACTTACTCAGTATGAATTTCTGTCAGCCGATTAAATCTGCTCTGGTGGCAGAGGAAATCTAAACAGATTAATTGATGACAGCAGTGCGACCGAGCAGTTTTAGGAAGCAATTACAGATTGCTCTTGGCAAACTAATCAATACTGTATTCCCGAAAGAGAGACATAAACTCACACACAACCCAGTATTCCCTACATCTTGTTCCAATGCTCAACTGTAAACTCGCTTGAACAGTGTCTGTTTACGTCTGTCAAAAATATCACCCCTGCTTTTGTTTTTGGTTCTGCAGCGGAATCTCTCTCTAAATCTAAGGGTATGTTGCACAAACATGTCGTCTCCTTATTTCAGGAATATTTGTAAACATTCTGTATAAGTAAAGAGTTGAATATCTGAGCGCAGAGAGTTCCCCTTTCTTGGTGATTTAGGTCCTGTCAAAAAGCCTTGGTGACGGTTGGAGTCTCTCCTCTAGCAAAGATGATTCAATTGATGGCAGTGAGCTGATTTTAATGCCGACCTGGAATCCTTCAATCTGGTCCAAGGTCTTCATCAACATCCACATATGAGCAGCTGACATCCCCGAGTCCTTTCTGTGACCCGAACCCTCAACCGACCCAGTTCCAGAAGAGCATCAGCGACTGGCGAAATGGTACTCACCCCAGAAGAAGTTCTGCTGACATGGTGTCACTGTGCTGAAGAGGCTGTTAGATGCCATGGCTGCCTCTGGTTCCAGCAAGCCCCAACTTTGTTCCTCTGTGGTTTCTGTGACCCTCGACACGTCCTAAACCAAGAGCGCCCAGCGTGTCATGAAGGGGGAAAAAAATGGAAAAGCCATCCACAAAACATGCTTCTACGTATCAACTATTTGGATGACCACAAGTAACGACCAGGTTTGGTTTTATAGAAAAAAAAAATTGCAGAGGCAAATATCGCTTTTGCGGATAGATCAGATGGTGTCGGACTCGCTTGCTTGGCCAATGTGGTTGGAACGTACTTACTTGCTTAGCGCCGTCCTTGTGACTGGTGCTGGCCCGTGACGATTAACCATTTACACTCCAGGTCGCCCTCAGACACCAACCCCGAGCCGCACGTCTGTGGTTCTGTGGTTGTTGGGGAGGCGAGCAAAGCCCTCACACAACCCAAAAGGCACCAGCTTTAAAACTCGTCTCTTTCCTGCCCTCCATGCGGCGTCACTGGAGACCCTGGGTCACATGCCCGCCAACGTCATCACGGTACAGCAGCTGAGTAGGACAGCCTACCGTTGTGGCTTTTCCTTCCTTTGCTCTCCTTCTGAGTTTTCTCTCCCCTCCTTCTCCCACCAGGCGTGATCCAGCAGCGTTTTCCAGGCTCTCTTGGGATTGGGTTCTAACGCTCCCGTGAGTCAGGAAGCTTCAGTGGGGGCAGCTTGTTCAACCGCCCATACTCCTCTCGGCATATGGGCAGCAGTTCTCTTCTGCCTTGCTCTCCCTTCACTCATTCAACCCCCCCTCTCCTCTTTCTGTCTATGTCTCTCTCTGTGACTCCGCTGCTCCTTCCCTCAACTCCTTTAACAGGCTGCCGTGCTGCTCCTGTCTGCCTTTGAGCAGGGAGAGCTGAGCTTGGTAAGATTTGAGGGTGTGAGTGAAGAGCGAAAGGCTGGCTGGCTGACTGGTGGTGTGTGGCTGGGTGTGTTTGTCTGTGTGAGCGTGTGCAGCAGAAAGAGAGAAAAAACTGGATGGAAAGCGGAGGTGTTGTGACACCCGGCTCAAGAAGACTTGCTTGAGTTGGCTCGTTTCTTCTGTATGGCACATCAGCATGGAACAGAGAGTAGTCATGTTATTGCATCACGCTCTAATAGCTGCGTTTGTGCATGTGCATCCAAGCCTATGCTCTGACCTGTCACTGGCTTCAAATGAAGAGAAAGACGGCTGCGATTCCTGTAAGAGGCCATACATCATGGCCACCTGTCCTCCTGCTGAGATGGCTTCGAACAGTCTAGTGAATGATACGAGACATGAACACCTACTCTGATGCAGACACCATGCAAAAAAAAACCAACAAAAAGTGCAGACGATCAGCGATTAATCATAGACTAAATCGTACTAGGCTCATGCCGTACACATGCTTGAACACCACAGGGACGGTTAGCTTTTTGATCAGAGATCACAGGTGTTTGTTATGGCGGTTTAAAAACGGGAGACGAGGTGTTGCAGCACGAGCAAAGATATGATAGGAATGAAGATTATTTTGATAAAGTGTTAAAGCGTCTCATCTTGTCACCAGGCATAAAACATTGTGAGAGTAGATTAAAAGGTTTCAGGAGAATGCGCTTTTATTGGTGTGCTGATTCTATGGCAATTAGAGGAACAGTCATAGCCCTTGTAATTTTCTCTACTTTGTCATGTTACAACTGCAAATTTTGATGCATTTGAGGGAATTTAATTTCATAGACCAACACAAAGTAACGCATAATTGTTTAGTGGAGGTAAAAATAATGCATCTTTCTCAAGATGCTCTACACAATATTTCCACAACCCCTTTTTCTCAGATGCCCCTTAATAAAATCCATTGCAGCCAGTTGCCTTTAGGATATAATGTCAGAGTAAATCCAGATGCTCTGTGAAGGCCTTGGAGGTTTGTTACAGGTCGTTAACAAAAAATTACCCGAGGAACACAACTGACTGGTTAAAAATAAGGTGGTGGTCAAGTTTAAAGCTGGGTTGGGTTATAAAATACTATCTCAAATTTTGTACTGTGCTTTTACAAAGCACTGTTCAATCCATCTTTATTTAGAATAGCTGCCATGGGGCCCTTTGTAGCTTCGGTTGAGCTGTGCACTCCATACATCTGGTCTTTATGGAAGAGTGGCAAGAAGAAAATCAATGCTCACAGAAAGTCATGAGGACTAATGTTTAAAGGTCACCGCGGGTCATGTAGAGGACATGGAAAAGATCAGTAAGAATGTCCCCAGGTCAAAATAGACCAATATGAATCTTTGAGGGCTACTTGCTTAATGCAATGTGTGGCAGAAAATTAGTATTGCCTATCAACCTAAACCAGAGGTGTTCAAAGTGTGCTCGTGGGGACATTTACGGCAGATTCAGCCAGCCTATCACTGGCTCCTATTTAAAAAAAAGGTGTAATTGTGGCCTGTCAGAACATGTGATTGATGTAGATGGAAGATTTTTTTATTCTATGTTCTTTCAGGCAAATTAAAAACTTGCAATGGAAAATGTGGTCAACAATGACAAATATTTGTCTTTTAATAAAAAAGGCTTTCTGGTTTCTTTTTAATTCTTTGTATTTCTATTTGGTTTTATAGTGTCTTTAACAGACTTTCTTTCAATAAGCACAACATCCTTTCCATAGTTGAATCTATAATGATTATCATATCCTTTCCTGACAGAAATTTGACTACTGGATTTATTTAACGAGAAGATTGTTAGTCTACAGTTGAGCAAAATTTTTTTTAGACATATATTTTAATTTAATTTGAGTTTTTTCCCCCTCTTTAGCACTTTTGACTTGTTTTTTTACTGTCCAAATAATAGATTGTTTGGACACAGTTTCAACAAACAGACCATAACCATGGTAAAGCATGGCAGAGGCAGCATCAGGCTAAGGGTAAGCTTATGAGAATTGGATAGAGTTATGGATAGATAACAGTCTTGAGAAATACAATTTTTAAAATATTTTTAAGACTTAAGTCTGGAGTTGAGATTTACCTACAATTATTTTAGCATGCAGCCCAATAATTGTAGGTTTCCTTTCACCTTACATTTATACAATACTATATAAGTAACTTCTACGTAAAATGGCAAAAAACTACAAAGACGTGTGTTTTTTAAGTCACAAAATGGAATAAAGAATATGTTAGGATATTAAAACTTTTTCAAGGTATAGTTTGTAAATATTGTAGCAAAAGCAAACAACACCGAAGGATATCAGCAGTAACAGCTTTGTCTTCCCTTTTCTTTAAGATTTTATTATATCAACACTAAGATTTTTATTAGTTTGAAGATAGAAAACAGAGTAGTTCTCATAAACATGTATCCTTCTTATTAATTAAAGACACTTAAGTGTAAATTTGTACTAATACTAAGCTATATTGAATGTTTACATATATATATATCCTTTAAGCCACAGAAGCTCCACAGTGCAGTGAAATAAACCCTTATTCAGACTCTGAGTTTAAGCCATTTCTTATGAGCAAACAAATGTCTGGGGAAACTTGTTTTATACAGATAATTAATTTTAAATGGGTAATTACATTTGTGGTAGTGAATGCAGATATTTAGATTTCTTCAAGAAATACCCAAAAATGACCTGTTTTCAGCAAGTCCAGTATTGATAGTTCAAATATGCCTTTAGTTAATTTTTATATTAGATGTGGAAGTCACTGAAGTTGCATCAAATGACTTAACTACTGTCTATACAAAAATGTTTTGCAAAAACATTCTTAGGTATTTTTACACATTATGCGGATGCAAATATAAGAAAATTTGAATACTTAGAAAATAGTGGGAAGAGAAAATTTTTGTTATATTTCACTTTGAAATAACTAAGAAATTGTGCGGTTTTAAACATTTTTAACTTTCCATTATAATGTTACTCTGGTTTAAAGTCTTTCTAATGTGATGCCAGAAAAACTGGCAGAGTCACAAAATTTCTCTGGCCTTTAAAATCATAAAGTAGAACACCTGTTTCCAGAAAACCATATAGAATCATAGCGTGAAAACTATAGAAGCACCACACATCCATCTTACCAACGTCTGCAGGCTACAAGCTGCAAGTCTGTCTGTCAGTTCAGGCTGCCTCCTTGAGCAAAGAGCCCCTCAAATTAACCCATGCTTTTTTGACTCAAACTGTCAGCCTGTGAGAATCCTGTGTATTTTTTTTAACGCAACATTTGACTAAGAGCAAAAGAGAGACTTTACTTTACTTTACTATACTTTTATTTATAAATAATTGATTAATAACTTTATATTGCATTTTTTTCTATGAAGATATGTGTGAAATAAGTAAATTTAATGTCAAATCCATTTATCTATTAAGATTTTATATTACTACATCTATAACTGACCTCGATGTAGGTTTATAAAAATAAAGAAATTAATAAATTCAGCAGCACAACAGCGTTTCCACAAGTCTTTACCACCTTCCTTATTTTTGTGCTGTGAAGCATTTTCCTTGGCTTGCTGCTTTGTAAATATTTGCCGTCTAAAACAAGAGCATGCCTCTTGAGCTGCTGCACATGCTTCAGGATCCTCCGGGAAAAGCTTTTCAAATCCTGCAAAACAAACTGGGCATCATGTAGGAAACACATTTCCATTGGTTTATCATATCACCTGAGCAGTTCAGCTTTTCATGAAAGGTTCCCAAAAGACTGCATGATGATTGCTCCACATTTTAGATCGGGTAGAAACATAGACTGGCTGCATTTAAGGATTGGTTTGGGTCGAGATGCTGAAGTTTCTCAAGAATAATATTTAAGGTCATGTCTAAACATTTTTCAGGTTACTGCAAACGGATGCTTTTTCTGTCAAAAGTGCTAAACTTTCGGACAAAGTCCAGCACCAGCGCAAGCTCTGCAGAGCCACAATAAATTACGTGCAGTTTGATGGGGGAGTAATTTGCACATCGTGATTGAGTCTGAGACATGGAATGAAAAAATAAAGCATAAATGTCAACTGCCCTTCTCACATGGCAGGAAATGTTGCTTCTTGGGTGGCATGGCATGTGATAAACATCCTTGATGGTGAAAATCTGAACTGTAATGATGTTGTACAGTCTCAAGTATCACTGCATGGATTCTTTAAAACTGAAAAGATTATATGGAAGGGGAACAGAACTTGTTTTTTTTTCTCCAGATACAGTCGCAAAGTTTAGACAAAGTTAGCCAAATATTGTCTTACTTGGAAAACTGTAAGGAAGGTCAGTGGTTCAGCCCCCTTAAGAAAACCCCAGCTAACAATTTCAGCACTGAGCTGAAATTACTTTTTGTCCACATTTAGATTTAATTAAACTGCTACAATACCAAAATATCAATCTGTGTTCTTGCAGTGTGTCACAATTCAAATGATTTACTAAAAGATTTAATTAATTAAACTCAAAAAAATATTGTGCTGTTAGGAAACTATTTGCCCCCTGTCAGATTTCTTCCATTTTTGCTTTTCTAATAAAGTTATTTGCTTCACAACATAAAGCCAATAGAAACCGATGTACAAAATGTATTTATCAGAATGATGTTGTATTTACTGAAGGAATTTTCCATCGAATCAAACCAGGCCCATATGAATAACTACCAGTCAGCTAATATCAAATGGTTCCACCTTTACCAACAGCTGTGACCTAGACTATATGATAACGAACAAAAATAATTTCAAATGTCTATCAGTTTTTCCCCCTTTTTTTTCAGAAAGTTTTTTACTTACAGCCTCATGGTGGTACAGTTTTTTAGCACTCTTGTCTTGTAACAAGAAGGTCCTGGGTTTGATTCCTGGCCGCGGAGGTTGCATGTGTGGGTTGAAGGTACTCCACCTTACCCCCACAGTCCAATTACATGAATGTGAAGTTGGTTAGTGTCTCTAAACTGCCCTTAGGTGTGTGTGCAATGTTGTGCAAACACCTGTGTATTATTTTG